GGTCCTTGAGGCAAAACGAGCGGTTTCCTGAAGTATGCTTTGGCTTTGTGTCTGTTATTGTTGTGTACGCTCCTATTTATGTTTGCAAACTCGATGTGAAAGAAGCATTCTCTGCCAAACTCACATCCATAGCAGACAATTGCCCACCAGTGAGACATTTGCATTGTTCTGGGCTACTTCAATGTGGTATCTGGCTGTGATCAAGCTGGGCACGAGATGTTTGTTGAACTTCATGGTCAAGGAGCTGATCCCAGCAGCGAGAACAGCCTCCTTATCTGGGACTTTACTAGGTACCAAAGATTGAGGATATCTGGCTCCTGGTATAAGCACTTATCACTGGACATGGTATAGCAATACAGGTACTGTGACAAAGGAGATTGACCACATTCTTGTCAGTACTCAATGGAGGATCCTTCAGAATTGCAGGGTTTACCGAGTTCTGTGGAACTGACCATAGGCTGGTAGTGGCTACCCTATGGGTCTCCTCATCCCTCCAGTGACCGCTTTAGAGTGTTTCACTTGGACAGACTGAGGAAGGAGTGTGCCCTTGGGTTCGTCCCAGCAGTCTCTGGCCAATTCACAGAACTTGAAAACTTATGGGCCCAGTTGCTCTGTGGGAGTCCTTCAAGTGTGAAACATTCAAAGGAGCGCAGGAGTCCATTGGCGTGCGCCCAAGGACAAGGCAGAATTTTGTCTCCCTGGAGACATTGGAGCCCACTGAAGTGTGTTGCATGGCTTGGTTGAAAGGTCACTGCTGAGAAGAGACAAGGGACAGTTCATCAAGAATCTTGCTGAGGAGGTTGAAGGCCATTTCTACTTACCAAGCCCTGACAAAACTGAACTCAAAGCCCTCCTCCACTCATTGGATGGACAGATCATCTCAGATCATGTTGGGGTTTGTGAATGTTGGGCTAAGTATTTTGAGTAGTAGTACCAGGTAGACTCTCCAACAATTAGCTTCGATGAAAGTGGTATCACAATACCTGTGCCAGACCCACTCATCAGCAAGGAACCTCCTACCCTATCTGATGTTAGGATGGCAATTTCTAAGCTGAAGAATGGGACAGCCGCAGGCATATGTGATATCCCTGCTGAACTGCTAAAGGCTGGGGGTGAACCTATGGCATGGGGCTTCCATCTGGCAGTCTGGTACCATTGTGGGACGTGGTCATCCCTCTCTGGAAAGGGGAAAGGGGATGGTTGGGATTGTAGCAACTACCATGGCATTACACTGCCCAGTATACCAGGCAAGGTTTTTGCCCACATTCTTCTGAAACGGATCCGCGACCACCTACTAAGGCACCAGAGACCAGAGCAGTCTAGATTCACTCCTGGCAAGTCCACAATAGACAGTGACCTAGTGCTTCGAGTAATTGTGGAACACCGTCGTCTGTTGCTTGCAGCCAACAATTGGCTGAGATTCTGAGATTTAGGGGAATTCCAACACGGGTTATTGGCCTAACAGCAAACCTATATACCGTTACCTGTATTAATCTCAGATCGCCAATTCAGGCTATATGGGCACCTAGCTCCTTTCCCTGTGGATGATCCTTCCCATCAGGTTGTCTCTCTGTAAAACAATCCTGGGTGAAGGTCCGTGGGATGATCTAGGCCATGGCTTGGGCACCTCGACCAGACCTATTGCAAAGAGATAGAGATTGGCTAAGGGCCTGCCTAGAGACTCGCTATGAGGGACCCTTGGAGCTGGAAGCGAATGCTGAATGCAGCCGTACACCCCCTTCGGGGTGTATGGCCGCATAATGATAATATGTATGTATCCATTACTTTCTCTAACCTATCGAGAGATAAACAGTGCTGACTGTGGTGTAATCTAGTGTATATTGATCAGCGCTATTTAGCATTAATAAAAAATATGTGTATATATATATATATATATATATATATATACATATATATATGTGTGTATGTGTGTGTGTGCGTGTGCGTGTGTGTGTGTGATTTAACGGATTTTGAACATCATTTTAAAGGGTTTTGAAATATTTGGCTTCTTTAGCCCCTCCCCCCAATCTCTTGGTCGTTGTTGTCGTGGCAGGTTTAGGAGACCAATGTAGGCGATCACCCCTACCTTGTTCCACAACCCATGCTTCAAATGATTTTGCATGGTGATTTATTCTCTGTCTCTCTTTATCCCTTCTGTCCAGTTATCATTAACTCACTTTTACACTTTACGCCACAATACTTTGTTATAATGTTTTGCCACCTTATCGCTATATTTTGAATATGCATCAAATGAACTTAGATGAGGATGCGGCATAATTTCTTAATAGATATATAAATAAATGCTTTGTTTAAAAGGAAATACATAAACAAGTTAAATAATTCAATTCTAATTAATATTTGTTTCACAATCTCTCTCTTTCTCTCTCCACCCCTCTCTCTCTATAAACTCTATAAACCACTGTAACTTCCCTAACAGACAACCACAACAATTAACCCCTACCTAGAACACGAACCAGACTTAGCTTACATTCCTCCTTTC